CAGTTCTTCTTCACTCTGCTAGCATCTCAGATTGGCCTTTTGTTGATCTTGTTCTCTCTGTTCTAGTTTGGTGACATCATATTTTAAGGGAGGAAATGCCCCTCTCTGCCTGTGTAACCAAGTCCAGGCTGGAAGTTAGCTAGCATCCTCCTGGAGCCATTCAGCCTCATTGCTCTGTGACCTTATCCTGACACAGAGAGCAGTCTCCATACGCAGTATTTCAGACATTGTAACTTGGTTCCATTGGGTGCAGAGATCTGCTCGTGTTACGCCACAATCACCCTTTAAGTGAGAATCGGTTACTTTGCAAAATTAATCTGTTAATCTAAAGTCTCACTAATAATTTGCTTCGTTAACAAGCATCATTAATCTGCCCACTGAAGATTGGAGGAGCCACACTGGTGCTGAGAATGGTACAAGACTGTGGCTTTCGCTCAGTAGCTTTCAACCCATGTTTTTTACTTCAGAATAGAATCTTTCTCTCCAGCAGGGTCTGGCTGATGGAGGCTGTGTGTGGTCTCTTTCTCTGTAAAGGCCTTTTGGAGAAGAAGTTGAGTTTCATACTCTACTCATGTCCCATCATTGCCTGATCATGGGAACACCTTGCTCCCAGTTGGAGCCCTGTGACATTTGTGTGTTTGCTATCACAATAGACCCGGAGCTGACCTGATGTGTCCTGCAGGCAACCCCCAGCATATGGACTAGGCAGTGGGAGCGGCCTGGAATCTCTTCAATCATTGTAATCCCACAGATAGGCTGGGGGCAGAGAGTGCTCTTTTTTTAAAGTATTGGAACTTTAACTGTGTTAGCCATGCCCACCTCCCCCTTCCAATGCCCCACACCCAGCCTCAGATCCTTCAGCGTGCTATTCTTTTATGGCCATTTTCTCAGTCTACTGCCTTGTTTCAGATTTGTTCCTTATTTATTCTTGGCATCCACAATGTGCTTAAGTACCTCCCAAGTCCTATAGACGGACACATTCCCTGCCACAAAGAATGGCAGATCTGATACTATAAGGCAGAGCTAAAAGTGCTAGATGGGGGAATAGAAGGTTGGCCGGATGTGGGGTGTCAGGATACAGCCATATGGTTACTTAGTTGTTATGCACACGTCTTGCTCCAAAACATATTCTGCTATATGTGGGGGGGAAAATCCCTCACCTCACAAAAATCTTTTTCCAGGACAAAGTGCCCCTTTAGCCACTCCCCATTCCATCCTGGCTCCCTCCCCAGCTCCTCCCACACCCTAAAGTTCACTTTCATTCACTCCAAAACACGGTGCCTGAATTGGGCCTCTTTGGAATTTATTGGCTGGATTGTACTCGCCTATAAAAACTTTGAGAGATTTAATTATGTAGGTTATGGACTATTTTTCAATCCACAAAACTATTTTAAGAAACTATTTAAAATTCTGTGTATTGAGAATGAGTGAGTCAGGAAATCATGTCCAGCCAGAGCAAAGAGCTCCTTGTAAAAAGGGGGAAAAGGTAATAAATGGGCCCTTGGCTGTTATTTCAGGATCTCATTGGGGCTTATGTCATTCCTTCCATTTCCATTTCCCTCATCATGTGCCACTGGACAATCCAAGCTGGGAACCTGAGACATCACAGTGGTGGAGAGACGACTGATTGCAGGTGTCATAACTGTGCTGCTTCGCTGGTACCTGTCAATGGCAGAAGCAACCAACTGGAAAATGCGGCAATTCATCTGCCGAGCCAGACCATCATCCAGGCATGCTCTGCCTGGTCTGGATGTTCTTTGCCATATTTTTGCCCCTTGACTCTTCAGACTTATAGCACAGGCAGTTTTGGGGGCACTTTCTCAGGTCTGAGTTGCAGGCTCCTCTGACATACACCAACAACCTAGAATTGTTGGTGTATGTAGGAGCTGCCTGTTAATCCTACCCATTTGCTAGGGGCTCTGAGACTGTGTTTTAAAAAGTAAATTTCTTGATAAGAAACAAGAGGCATATGCATGAGAATAGAAATTTGTGGGGAAATCTAAGCCTGAAGGCCTGTCCACCCTCCTGTTTCCACTTAGGTCGTATGCTTATATGAGTAGCTGGCTCCAAGGTTATGATTCATTGGGAGAGAATGATGGCGGGACCATAGCTTATACACCACACATGGGACCTTTGACATTCCATAGTAACTCATTTCACAAGGAAACAACATTTGTCAGTGGAAGGGCCAACACATTCATGTCCAGGACCGATGGAGTAATCCTATATATCACAGTACAAAATTGACACAGAGTGCCCAAGTGCATCTATTGCTCCTACATATTAAAAGGCCAGCTTTATATGAAGCCCAGTTCTGCAGGAGGTGGCATGCATAGGGCTGAGCCTGCTTCATGAATGCTCCTAGAGAGGAGGGTTCTTTGCCTGTCTCCTGTGTTTGACTGTTCCAAGGCCATGTGTTCACCCTGGGGAAGATTGACGCTGTCACAATCGAACTTCAGGAGTTCAATTTTTTAGGTCTAGTTAAGACCTGCTTGATCAAGCTCAAAGGTTGCCCCCCTCGACGGCTGGTACTCCTGCTCCTGCGAGGAGTAAGGGAAGTTGACAGGAGCATTTTCTCTCTTTGGCCTCCTGCTGTGGAGACTCCTGCTGTGGGGAAACTCAGATCAAGTTGTATTGACTCCAGCTACATAATTAACGTAGCTGGAGTTGGATATCTTTATCTGACCTTCCCCTTTAGTGTAGACCTGGCCTAAGACACTCACTAGTCTCTGGCACGGGACTGTCTTTTACACTTCTTACTCTGTGAGATCCAGGGGAGACACTAGATGCTGTGGGTTGACTTTTCCCTCCTGAGCTCTTGCATCCTGAGCCTTGTAATAAGAACAATGATATTTTGTGCTCAAGTACCAACTTCCATCCCAGGATGTCAAAGCTTGACAATGTAGCCTTACTGGTATCTCTATGTTACTGATGGAGAAACTGAATCAGAGAAGGAGAGTGATTTTTGCGAGGCCACGTGGTGAGAACAGAGGCTAGGAATAGAAGAGTGGACTCCCAATCATCAGTCCCCTCTGCTCTACACAGTAGATGATCTGGCTTCTCAATTATGTAGGGACCTTCCTTCTGCTGACCCTAACCCTCAGAGGCATGACTGGAGGATGCATTGAATTATGCACTCTATTAACTTGCTTAGCCAGTCTAATCTCTGACTTGTAGGCTTCATTCACCTTTATTCATTCAGGACCAGGTTTGTAGCTCTCCCCAGCAGTCTGGACTAGTCTCACACCATGGCATATGTGGATTTGGGTCCTTTCTGGATGAGTCTGGCATGTACCACTCTTCATGCAGGTTCCTGTGCCTCTCTGAAGGTACTAGGGGAGCAGGAGAAGTTAGAGTTTTGCATGCAACATTAGTAATAGCCAGATCCTGCTTCAAGGAGGGGATATTGATGAGGGTGTTTATGGGTTATGTCTCTGTTCTAGAGAGGTGACTGTGTGAAAAGAATGGGCTTTGGGACTCAGCATCAAACTCCCCTTCGTGCTCTCCCAACGAGGGGAAATTGCAGTTCTCACTCCTTAAGGATCTCAACGCTCCAAGACATGCTGCGAGTTGGAGCTGAGTTGCACTGTGGTTACTCTTACGGTTGCTTGGGTTTGGGAAACCAATTGACAGAAATATGGGGGATAGCCAGATAAGCTGAGACTAGGATCAAACACCATGGTGGTAGGTAGGGCCTGCTTCAGACCTCCCGAAACTCATGTCACATTGGGAGTGTAGGTCAGAACTAAGGCCTGTGGTAGTGGTATGAAAAGGGCAAAGACCTTGTTAGGATTTCTTTTGATTGAAAAGGAAAGGCATGGCTCAGAATATGTGAATTACTGTTGAAGCATTTGTCATAGGGAAAATGAGAAACATCAACTGACTACCCTTTATTTTGCAATAAACATTGTTTAAACCCTTCTGACAATATTTCATCATAATTTAAAACCATGTAAAAATCCATCTAGACTCCAGCATGCTGCACATGGAGCCTGGATTGGGAAAGTTCCTAGAGGGATCTTGATTGTCAGAAGACCAGCTGGGGAGACAGAGAGTGGGGAAAGGTTTTCCAAAGCACTTAAGTCCCATTTTCAAAAGTGAGTTGGGCACCGAGGACCTGTGTTTCATTGAAAGTCAATGGGGCTTGGGCTCCTAACCCACTTGGGCACTTTTGAAAATGTTACCTGCGGGTATGTTATGACACTCCCCCCAAAGCCATGACTTTTGTCACCTTCAGCCTTACTCCTTCCCCTGCCCATGGCCTCCAGGTGTTAGAGGTGAATTGTGTAACTACTCTGCATGGCTAGCGGTTAGAGGACAAACCTAAGATGGGACCAGCTAGCATCAATGACTGAAAATAAGCGCATTGAGCATCACTCTGCAGGCTCTTCACTTGCAGAACTGCTGTTGAAGTCGTTGGCAGCATGTGCTCTGAGTACTTGTAGGATCCAGTCCGTTGTATAGTGAACAAATTGAAATGCCTGGTTGTGACACCAGTAATAATGGAGGAGTAAAAAATAAAGCAGAAAGCAAGGGATAGAAACATTTGAAAGGAAGATTTGAAAAAGGGGGGAGTTGATGGTGCTGGAGGCAGTGCCAAGTGGCAGTGCAGAAGAGGAGAAGGCTTTCACACCAGCAGCAAAGAGACTGACTGTAGGCATGGAGAAAGAGCCAGTGGAGTAGCAGAGGGTGTAGAAGGGAGGGTTTGGAGGTGTTTCGGGCACATCTTCTGCTCCCAGGTGGGACCACTGCTGAACTATTTAGCAGCATGAAATTGATCTGAGTTCCTGGTGCTCTTAGCCATTGCTGTGGAGGTAGTGATGGGGACTTACTAACAGAGGAGAGGTGGGAGAAGAAGAAAATACAGGGTCAGGAGTACCTCAAGCTCACAGACAGTGGGTGGAAAGGAGAGGCTGGAATCAAGGAAAGAGGAAGAGAAAAAGGGTGTGTGGAGTTCAGCCCTAGTTTCTAAGCCTCCAAACTGTTTGCTGTTGTCCTAGCTCATCCACTGATTGAAAACGGACAGGTGGCGTGTCCCCAGGGATACAAGAGACTGAATCGGAGCCATTGTCAAGGTAAGGATGCTGCTCTGATCCCTTTCTCAGACTCTTTATCAGGCAGAGTAGTAATCATTCCTCTGTGTAAAATGAGTTCATTTCCTGCCCTGGCACTGACTTACTGCGAATATTACAGTTAAAGAGCCCCGAGCCGTCACGTGTGAAAGTAACTAGCTAAGTACTGCTAACTGTACCGAAAGATTGCATGTCTCTGACAGCTCAGGCTGCTTCCCAGTGATACCAGCCAAATTCGTCAGACAACAGCCTGACCCACCTTGATTCTCTGTGTGTGCATACACTAGTGATGGGTGCATCTCTGACTGTGTTCTGCATGTACTCAGTGGTGTTAAAACAGGCGATCTGTATAATTCCTGTAGCCTGAAGCTTTAACTGTGGGTTACCACTGATTGGGGAGGTGTTTGGGTTTTTTAAAAGAAGGAGTGGTGAAAGTGAAAGCGAGTTGGCTTGAAAATCTGTCTGAACCAAGTACATAAACTTTGTACGTGCCAGGCTCCTCAGAGTCTGCCTTGCTCCAGGGTGGGGTCTGTCTATGCACATTTCAACCCACAGTCTCCTCTGCCCCACATCAGGGGCTGTCTGTGTTTGGACCATTTAGCCCATAGCCCCCTCTGCCCCATGTTGGGAGTATGGGGCTATGTCTAGGCCATTCAGCCCAGAGCTCTCTCTGCCCCACGTTGTGAGGTGTGGGTGTCTGGGGCGTTCATCCCAGGAATCCCTTTGCCCTACATTGGCCCATACAAGATACACTGCCCATTTACCTCAGGGGTCCTATCTGCCCTATATTGTGGGGTCTGTGTGTCTGCCATTCAGCCCAGAGGCCACTTTGTCCCACATTGGGAGTAAGGGATGTGTTGGGCTGTTCACCCCAAAAGTCCCCTCTGCTCCACATCAGGGGTGTGTGTACGTGTATGTATGGGCGATTCAACCCAAGAATCCCCTCTTCCCCACACTGGGAGGAGTCTTAGGTGGGCCATTCTTCCTGGAGTTCCTTCTGCCCCATGTTGGGGGGTGACTCTGTGTGGGCCAATCACCCCAGTACTCTCCTCTGCCCCACATTTTTTGTACATGGCTGTGCCTATCCCATTCATCTTGGGCATCCCATCTGCTCCACTTAAGGAGGGGGCCTTTTCCTCAGTTCCTCATTAGGGAAAATATCTGACACTTTTCAAATCAGGAATTTCTTGGTCACATTGTCATGATTCCTTATATGCCATGAGCTGTCCCTCAGAGAATGCTGTCTGGGCCTGGCACATGTAAGCTCATGGCATGCAGTCTAATGACTCATCTCCTCTAGCAGGGACTTTCCATATCATTGAATTAAATAATGAATCACCCTAGAGCAGAGGTCCTCCAACTGAGGGGTCAGGACCCCTCAGGGGTTGCAAGGTTACTATGTGGGTGACATAGGGAAGAGGGAAGGAGTGGGGTGCCTGGTGGTCGTCTGGCCAGAGGGAAGGGCAGGAGCAAGGTGCTGATGGGTGTCTGGTCGGGGCAGAAGCAGGCTGGGGGTGCAGGGTCTTGGCATGGAGGGTAGGCAGGGTGTGCAGGGTCTGGGCAGCACTGCTTTCAGGCTCCCTGTCCCAGACATGGCTTCCTGCTGCTCCATTGGCTGGATTCTGGCTAATGGAGCAGCAGCAGGATCCCCAGTCTGGGAGCTGGCCTCGAGCAGAGCTGGATCTTGAGGAACCTCAATGGGATGGGCCCTGAGACAGCTCCAACAAGCCCCCTCAGCCTTTCCCCCACCACCCAGCAGCAGCCTGGAAGCAGCAGCAGCAGCAGCACATCTTGCTCCCCTAATCTCCCCAGCTTAGCCGGTACCTGCTGGTCTCCAGAGACGAGTATATCTCAGCACTGCCTGCAGATCCTGCCTAAACGATACGCATGTGCCACTCCTCGTCCCTCCGCCGCCATTTTAGCTGCCCTCCCCACCTAGTTCCTGCGTGCTCAGTGTGTATCACTAGCACATCTGGCACAGCCAGACGCGGTCACTCAGGTGATCACCAGGCAGGGGGGAGGCTGCGCAGCTCCTGTTTCCTACCTCTCTAGAGCACGGGAGAAGGTAGGGTGTATGAGGAAGCAAGCGCTTTGCAGTTGGGAGGGGAGGAGTAGTGTGTGTGCTTCCCCACAAGCTGGCTCTGGCTCGGAGCCTCGGGGCTCCCCTGCCACAGGAAGCCGGCACTGGCTCCAAACTTGCAGTGAGTGGGGATGATGCTGGATTGCCAGCATGTGTTCCCTGTTGCAGGGTGGGAGAGTGAGAAGGGGCTGAGCTCGAGCCGTGAGCTATATTTGGCTCCTAATTGAGCCATATATGGCTCACCAGACATAGGTTGCTGACCCCTGCAATGATGCCTGCTGCCCTTCCTGCTGCCCAGGTGGTGGGGATAAGTATTTAGCCAGGACTCCTGAGACATCCAGTTGGCTTTAAAACATTGACTGACCCTCCCAGCCCCCTGTCTTTATCTTACAGATAGCCCAGAGGGGAGAGGGAATTTGCTTTAGGTCACACACTGCATCAGTGGCAGAGGACCTGGGAACTGCAAGCTCGCACGTATGCATCGCCAGAGCCAGCTGCACCAGTGACAAGCTGGACACATGCCTTCCACTCCTCAGGCTGATGCTGGGCTATGAGTGCAAGGCAGGTTTCTCCAGCCCTTGCTGTGCACCTGCACTCTTTGATTCTGGACAGTGCATCCTTTGCAGACAGTGCCTCAGTCTGACCACGCAGGAGATTTGATTGAAAAGAGACTTGCTCATGATCTGCGCCTTGCCAAGCCTGGGTCTGACAGCTGTAAAAATGACCTTGCCAGGATCGCCCCATGAGATGCACCATCTGGTGTCCATGAGGCTCCCAGAGTCGAGCAATAGTTCGAACCATCTATGCAGCTGCAACAAACAGGCCGTGCACAGCGAATGTGGGATTGCTGTCATCACAACGGTTCCTATGAAACTGTTTGCAATACAAGTGCCCTACAGCACACTGCACTGGCTGAGACCAGCTTGCTGCTGCTGTACGGCAAAGCTGGGTTGTAGGACTTGAGGGACTTGGAGACCTGATCCATTAGAGTAGGTAAGATACCAGACAAGCAGCTCTAATAGTCCTGGGAGAAGGGCCACAACCTTGAATCTCAAGGCAGCTGCAGGGAGGAACAAAGGGGACCTAGCCAGGGCAGAAGGCAGTAAGCAAACTGCACGTGAACTTGGTAGGAGACAGGCAAGGCAGGACTTGGACAGAGGGGAGGAGGTTTTAAAGAAGACTGGAATCTCCTGGTTCATTATTGTACTCACCTGGGGCTCAGCTAGCAAAGCCAGGCTCCCATATTCCTTCTTTACCCATGGCATATGGTCCAGCTGCCGCATCTGTATGGCACATGGTGAGTGGACCCAGCTGGATGAATCTGGAGAATCAGTAGCAGGGTGAGAGAGAGGCAAGGCTAACAAGAAGTTCTGGGTGGGCTGTTTGCTCTTGAAACCCCTTTTTCAGGTTAACATGGCCCATTGGACTAGGTATCCTTAGCCCTGCTCAGTGTGGGAGAGGGACTAGATGGCCTGCAGAGGTCCCTTCCAGCCCTACATTGCTAGGTCAGGCTCCTTGAGAGAGCAGCACTTTGCAGAGTCTGGTGGCCTGTGCCATTCAGGACACTGCCACTAACCCTGCCAACAGCCTAGCTGGGAATCCTCTTGGGGCTCACAGCTGGACTGTCCCTGGCTGTATCAGAGGCTCTGACTGCAGAAGGAGCCAGGCTGGAGTCGCGATTGTTTCATACTGTTTCAGAAATGGAACAATTGGAAATCTCAGAGAGCACCTCCATATAGTCAGTGCCTTAAGGGGCCCTGCCAGGGCCTGACCTCATTGTGATGTGGGGTCCCCTCCCCTAAAAGCCTAATGCTTGTGGATAGTAAAGTATGAGAGAGAGAGCCCAGCAGGATCTGCTGGCCCTGGAGTGGATTCCTGTGCCCAGGACTGAGAGGAAGTTCTCAGCTGACAGCATCCAGGAGGAGACGGAATGTGAGTGTTTCAGGGATTTCTGCAGGGCGGTAGGTAGTACAACAGTGCCCTGCCCTCACACCCTCAATGTGAGGCTCTTGAAGGCTGAGCCTGTTCCACTCTGTGCCCCTTTCAGCCTTCTCTCTGAAGCAGCACTCCCCCAGGGAATTGTGGGGGGAGGGGGAGTTACTGATACAGAGGGACAGAAACATGGAAAGCCAAATGCTACTTGCAAAATGCCCCTGTCCTGCCTAGCTACAGAGAGACTCCCCAGCTCTCCCATGCTGCAAGGTATCTGGGCCTTTACTAACTCAGACTTTTTCCCAGTGTTAGAATCAGCTCTAGGCAGACACTGATCTCAGTCCCTTTGGGCTTCTGGTGTAACCCACCCCCAGCAGCTCCTCATGTTAGATCTTCCCCAGGCCTGTATGTGGGGAACCCCCCAGGAACTCACTCTGATTGTTCTTTCTGTCACTCCTGACTGATTCAGTGCTGGAGAGATCAATTGTGTTGCGGGAGGATAAAGACCTCTGCAGTTTTCTGGTTGTGTGGGGGTCAGTATCAGCCCATTGGAGGACGGAGGCTTGGAAGGGGCCTCAGTGCTGCTTGTGGGGTTGTTGGACACAGGGTTTGCTGTTCCCTGCCCTGCTCTGCACTGACACCAAGTGGACGATGGGAAGGGAGCACTGGCCATCTGGCTACATAGCAATAGCCCTGTTGAATTGCAGCCCCTTCCCTTGCCTGCACGGTTCCCTGTGCCGTGTGCTGCTGTTGCTGATTTCACGTAATGGGCAAGCCCAGGGCACTGTGGCTGATACTGTTCTCTCTTCCTACCCTGCAGATATCAACGAGTGCCTAATGCTTGGCCTGTGTAAAGATGCCGAATGTGTGAACACTCGTGGCAGCTTCCTCTGCACCTGCAAACCAGGCACCATGCTGGACCCATCCCGCAGTCGCTGTGTCTGTAAGTCAGGGTTTCCCAGCCTATGGGTCGCCATTACATTTCAAAAGGGTCGCTAGGTGTCTCCCCAGATGGCTCTTAAGGAGCCATTCACACATTTTTTTAATTGCCCTGGGTCACCAAGTCTTCCTGAATTGTCAAAATGGGTCTCCATCTGGAGAAGGTTGGGAACCGCTGCTGTAAGTGCTTTGGGGACGGCTGCTTGGAAGCAGCTGTCCAGGGTCCCCAGTAATGCCCCCCAAAGCTTCCCTGGAACTGTCAGCAGCAACCAGCAGATCACAGTACAGATGGAAACAAGATATGATGTGTCCGTGTTCCCTTACGTGTGCCCTGAGATGGTGTGTGTGTGAGGGGGGTGAGATCCTGTGTGTGTGCATTCATGCTCTTGCATGGTGTGTATGCGTGCATGTGTGTGCACGAGCGTGCATGGACCTGTACCTGTACTCATAAGAATGGCCATATTGGGTCAGACCAAAGGTCCATCTAGCCCAGTATCCTGTCTGCTGACAGTGGCCAGTGCCAGGTGCCCCAGAGAGGGTGGACCGAAGACAATGATCAAGCAATTTGTCTCCTGCCATCCTTTGACAAACAGAAGCCAGGGACACCATTCCTTACCCCTGGCTAATAGCCTTTTATGGACCTAACCTCCATGAATTTATCTAGCTCTTTTTTAAACTCTGTTATAGTCCTAGCCTTCACAGCCTCCTCTGGCAAGGAGTTCCACAGGTAGACTACATGCTGTGTGAAGAAGAACTTTTTTTTATTAGTTTTAAACCTGCTACCCATTAATTTCATTTGGTGTCCTCTAGTTCTTCTATTATGGGAACTAATAAATAACTTTTCTTTATCGGCCCTCTCCACACCACTCATGATTTTATAGACCTCTATCATATCCCCCCTCAGTCTCCTCTTTTCTAAGCTGAAAAGTCCCAGTCTCTTTAACCTCTCCTCATATGGGACCCGTTCCAAACCCCTAATCATTTTAGTTGCCCTTTTCTGAACCCTTTCCAAGGCCAAAATATCTTTTTTGAGGTGAGGAGACCACATCTGTACGCAGTATTCAAGATGTGGGCGTACTATAGTTTTATATAGTTCTCAGTTCCCTCCCTTGATCACATGGGGTTATGTGGAGGCCTGCACCAGCTTCCGGGTACACTTCTGGGTAAGGTGTTGAGAGCACCTGTACTGGGGTATCTGGAATTCAAATAGAAGTCCATCCCTTCCATGCTGCTTCTGTTGCATCTGCTCACTTCACTGATGCCCACAACCAGGAAGGAGACCCAGTTCCTAGCTAAGGAAGAAGTCCTAAGGCTGAATGCGCAATCAGGGCTAGGCTGGGGAGAGAAGTACTATGGAAACTGCAGCGTCAGGGAGAGGAGCCTGCAGCTTTTCACCAAAGCCCTCATCAGCCAGGGGCAAAGGCTGTGTGGCATGAGAGGAGGGTGCCCATCCATAAGGGGAGCGTGGAAATCTTTGTGGCAGAAGCAGACCAGTGGGGTGGTGGCAGCAATATTGCAGTGTAGGAGGAATGTGATGAGGCCCGGGCTGGTGACAGAGAGGCAGAGATGAGAAGGCCATTGAAGGTGATGACAGGCAGCACTTTTCCTCATTAGTGTATGCCTGGCAGAAGCGGACGCTTGGCCTCCAACATAACCCTGGGCTTGTGTTTCAGCGGCTAAGGCGGTGTCCATGGAGCAGGGGCTATGCTATCGCTCAGCAGCAGGAGGTGTCTGTGGCCTTCCACTCACCCAGAGTATCACCAAGCAGATTTGCTGCTGCAGCCGTGTTGGCAAAGGATGGGGGAAGAATTGTGAGAAGTGCCCTGTGCTGGGGTCAGGTGAGAGCTCTGCTTACTGCTCAGCTGTGCCCAGTGTTCTAAGCTGGCCTTACTTCACCTTACACCTTCTGACTCCGTGGCCCAGGACCAGCTCAGTCTCCTTCCATGCGCTGACATGTTGGGAAGTGGGTGTGGACAGTCTAAGGGGGCAGGGGCACAGGCCATCACAGAGGTTGCTGTCTGCATGTCTGCTTGCTAGGAGGCAGCCGGCGCTAACTGAGAGCAGCCTGCCACTCTGGAGCAGATTCCAAACCTGCACTAGGAAATTCCTCACCACGCAGATGTCATGCAATATTGCCCTCGAGGGAGACCACAGCCTTCCCCATGCCTGTGTTAGCCTGATACTCCCTTTCATCTCACTTTGCCTCTCCTAAGGTTAAAGTTTCATCCTTTCCTGACATGTCAATCTTCAGGTGCCCCAGAGCAGTGGCTCCCAGCCTTTTTTCTACCGCAGACCAGCATAATCTATTTGCATATTCATTATTTTCCCACAGAAGTTGCAAATATGCAAATACAATTTATTGGTCTGCCAAAAGATTGTGAATGGGTTTGCTGGTTTGCGATATAAAAAGCTGCAGCCCCCAGTGTCAGCCCTAACCCTTAGAGCCCTCCACTACCCCCCAATGCCAGCCACTGACCCCAGAGCCCCTTGCACCCAACCTCCCCCAGTACCGGCCCCCCATCCCTAACACCTCATTGTCAACCTCCTGGCCCTTAGCGCCCCCCCACCAGACTCCACCAATGCCAGCCCCAGTCCTCAATATTAGCCCTATCCCCAGTGTTCCCCACGTGACAGCCCTGCTCCTGTAGCCCACTCACTACTAGCCCTGCCCCCAGAGTCTCCCAGAGCCAGCTGCCCACCCCAGATGTCCTAGTGCCCTCCAGGGTCAGCCCTTTCCCTCTTAGAGCCCCATCCCTTAGAGCTTCCCAGATGCACCAGTATTAGCTTCAGCCCCAGTGCCCCTCAGTGACAGCCCCACACCTCTTAGAGACCCCTATCCACAGAACCCCTTCACACTAGCCCTGTCCCTGGAGCTCCCAGTACCTGTTCTGCTCCCCTCACCTAGCCCTGCACTGCCTCCCAGCCACCAGCTGAGCACTGCTGCCTGGATTGCAGCAGCTCTAAGGCTGCCGTGCCCGGCTCCACCCAGCCCTCCTGCCATGCAGCAAACTGCTCTTCTGCGGCCGGAGGAGACCCCGGCACTGGTTGGCTGAGAGGTGAGGTAGGACACTCCTCTCCCAACAGCTGTGGCGGGAGGGGAGGCACTGGGTGATGTATCCCAGCCTCGGCCCCCCAGAGTGGCCGTGGCTCGGCAGCCAGTGGTTTGCGGCCTGGTGTCTGCGGACCGATGGTTGGGAACCGCTTCCCCAAAGCACCAACCAAGGATGGGTTGATGTTTACCAGAGTGTTAAGGACCAGAGCAGTGATGGGCAACCCACAGCCCACTGGGGCTCTAACTGCAGCCTGTGGACTCCCGTCTGTCCCGCTCCCCCATGCGCTTCTTGCGCACTGGAAAACTGGAGCCCCACGTTTTCTACTCCTCCCCCACCCTCACAGCACTTTCAGAGTGTGCAAATTGCCTGATTTATGCTCTGTTCCTGCTCCTCCCCCTTCCTCCCAGAGCTTGAACAGCTTCAAACAGCTGATTTGCAGCATTCCAGCTCTGGGAGGGATAGGGAGGAGTGGGGATGAAATATGAATCCGGTGAGGTGGAGAGCCACTCATGTGGCCCACTCCCTATTTTTGGTTGCCCATTGTTGGGCTAGAGCCACAAGCACGGAACCCCACAGGGCTGGAAATCCTACACATCCCCCTGGACTGGGAGAAGGCATCTTGGGACATGCATCTCAAAAGACCAAAGTACTAGAAGGTCCGCAGTACCTGCAATATTGCAACCATGTATTTAGTCCCTTATCCAGCCTTGGCAGGCTGTGCAGCCCTTTCCACCCCATTAGATGGCTCCCTCCTAGCTCTGTGGGGGAGTGTTTTCTTGGTGCTCCCCCTGGTGGCACTGAGTTAGCAGAGAGATTGGAGTCTCCAGTAGCTGTGAATGCTATCTGGTGCCAGTTACAGACTCACCCAGCTCTGCGAGCTGATTCCCTTTGCTGGGAATATCCTCACTTCACACCTGCTCCATCAAACATGTGGCTCAAACATGTTCTAACCAAGGGACAGACTTGTATTTGAACCCTGGTAGGCTGACAGGTGGAGGGAGTCGCACATCATGACCTGGCCAGTCTTACCTGCGTAGCAGAAGACAGCATCTTCCATTCCTCCATTGGGTCTTGCCAGATGGATAGCCTTGTGTTTTTGTGACTGGTTTGTCCCCTTTACTCCACATGTCAACCTTGGCCTGTGTCTCCTTTGCAGAAGCCTTTAAGGAGATTTGTCCAGCGGGACATGGCTACACATACTCCAGCTCAGATATACGTCTATCCATGAGAAAGGCAGAGGCAGAAGAGCTTCCATTCAGCTCAGAGGAGCAGGGGGAGAGAAGGGAACATACGCACCCCTGGGCAGGAAAAAGGCTGCAACTGCAGGAAGCCCTAAGTGGTGGAGTCACAGGTAGGCCCCTATGCTGGAATGTCAGCAGCAGAAGGTAGATTGGGATGTGATGCAACATTACTAGCCGCTACACATACAGGTGCCCTGGATGGATTCCCCCTTTCACCCTCTGGCTGTCTCCTTCCCAAGGACTGTGCTTCCAGCTGAAGTGAATGGAGGTCAGCTCCAGAGCTATACAAGGCTCTCTTGTCCCAGTATCCCAGTGGTACAGGGCATGGCCTTTTCAGAGCTCCCTGCTTTGAGACAGGGGCAACCTTTGAGTTCCAGCCTCAGATCCTTACTGCTAACAGGTGGTGCTGCTGCCAGGTGGCCATGCTGCCCCCACAGTTGGAAGCTGCAGTCTGATTCAGACGTGCCCTGCTGAGCAGGCATGTGGGACCCGAGTATGACTCCTGGCACAAGTGTCCCCCAGTGGTTATCCCAATACACTCAGGCTGGGAATGCAAATCCAGAGAGGGGCGTGATTGTTGTCATGGGAACCAAGGTCTGTTAGAATGGCATCCCCCTGTGGAGGCTGAGGGAGGAGCCAGGCCTGGGGCAGCTCAGTGCTCTGAGTTTGGAAGGACAAGTTCCCATCTTGTGCTGGGAGAATGGGGGCTCCTAGTCAGCATCAGGTTAGTGCAGTTATGGGCTCTCTCGTGTCTGTGGAGTGCTGACATTTCTTGTTCTCAAATTCACCATGTGCGATTTAATTTTCCAGGTCACTCTCCAGACAGCCAGGTGAGTTAAGCCCTGCCTGCTGGCAGATGATGGGGAGGGGATGTGTTTGTGATGAACTTGCTGGTGGGAAAGGGGTCATTTTAAAAAGTAGCAAGAGGAAAACACTGACTTGGTTGGAGTTGGAATAATGAGGGGAAATAGCTGCAGATCAAAGAAGTACCAGGTTAGCTAAGATGCTGGTGGAGGTTAGAAAGCACCCTGACAACCTGGCATTGTAACATAGCACAGATCAGCTGTAACATTCAAGCCCACGTGGACGCTTTGGAGCAGCTGACACACACATACCCTGTTGAGAACAGGGAGCAAAATGGTGCCTCCCTGGATTTTGGGGGTTGCCTCTTTGTGCACTAAACATTTAGAAATAAAGCTTAAAAGTATTTTGCAAAGGGAAGAAATGGGGCTTGAGCCTTTGTTGTGTTCATTTCTTTGGGATGGTTTGGTTTGGCTTTTTCAGTTTGGCAGCATATGTTCAGATCCTGTCTGTTTTTCCGGTGTGCAGCTATGGCCTGCTTCATCACAGTATGGGTATGTCTAGACTGCGAGGATCTATCAGAAAGATACACAAAATGTGGTGCGCATTTTGCGTATCTTTTTCTGATACTTTTGTCAGAAGAGGCTTTTCCGAAATTTGGCCTGTCTAGACTGGGCCAAATTTTGGGGAAAACCCCCTCTTTTGAAAGCCCCCTTCTTCCTCATGGAGTGAAGAATTCCAGGGGCTTCTGAAAGAGCGCGTTTGTTCTTCTGCAAAAAAAAGTGGAAGAGGTAACGCATTCCCTGGACATGGAGTTTTTTTGGGATACCTCTGGTATCCCAAAACCCCACAGAAGTGTAGCTGTACCCTGTGTGAGCACCTCACAGTCTTGAATGTATTCAGCTTCGGGCTGTCTCTGTCAGTTGTTAGACCTTTTACTGCTTCCTCATCAGCGGAGAGACTGAGTGACCAGGGCAAGGCCTGCAGGCCTCTGGGGGCAGTGCTGAGGCTTGAACCTGGGTCTCCTTGCTTCTGAGCTTGTCCTCTGGCCCCTAGTCATCCTTCCTCTCATGTCCTGCTGGGAAGAGTCTCTGATGACTGGGCAATCAGTGAAGTGGTGACAGTCCAAAAGAGTGAAAGCCAAGGGAGTTTAGACTGTTTAAACTGCTTTTGGTTTGTGTTTAACACCTGGTTAATGCCCATAGCTATTTGACATCCTGAATAAGGGAGTCTTTTGCTAAAGAGCACTCCTGCCCCTGGAGCTGAGGATTCAGAGTTCACAATAGGCATCCCCAGGACTTCCAAGAGGCAAACCACACAGACATTGTGGAGATCAATCTCTGCCAAAGGATTGCGAGCCCAGGGCAGATTCTGGAGCGCCAAACAAGATTAGCCAGGCTCCCATCCCAATACCTGGTCCTGAGGTTTGTAGCTGTGCAGTCAGCCTATGAAGGAGACCTAGAGGGAACTGAATGCAGAAATCTGAAAGGCTCCTGAACAGGCATAATGCTTTGTATAAGCATCCAGCACACTGAGGCTCCAGCTGGTCCACACACCAGTAGCCTCAGCTGCCATTACAGTACCCCCAGTTTGCATTAGCAGCCAGCTAGGGCAAGAGGAAGCTCACCTCTGTGTTGCCCCTGGGCTAAATACACCCCTGGCTAGTGCAGGCAGAGCCAATCTTTGTGTTTTGTGTTTCTCACCCACAGGCCACTGCTGAGGCCACTCAGGAACCTGCCCTGTACCCAGGTGCGTACATGCACAGTGGGCTTGTGGGTAAGCTGCAAATAGAGAAGTGGAAGGAGGTCCAGGGTTGTCCCAGCTGGCAGCTTCAGGCGGTGCTGATAACCTTGGGGCCAGGGAAAAGCAGCTTTATTTCATAGGCACCTCCTAAACGCCTTCTGTGTTGCTCCAAATGGGCTGTGCTGCACAGAACTGGGAGGCGCTGCGGGAATGGGGCTGTCCCATGAGATGTAGGACGGGGACAGGGAGAACTGTACTCCATGTCATGTGTTGGAAGACCCCTTTCCTGCATCCCAGGGCTTGAGTGCTGTTATCTTCTGCCCATGTTCATGATCTCTGGGCTCTGTAATGGGCACCGCAGCGTGGGGTGGGGGATCAGGAGGCAGGGAACTGCAGCAAGGACCTGCACCTCCAACATGCAGCAGCAAGCTGACTGGCTATGAAATCTCTCCGCTGATCTCTGCTGGATGAAGTGACAACCCGGTCTCATGACTGACATTCGCAGCCACCTAGATGCTGGGCTCAGAGCCTGGGACCTGCACCTGCTGCTCCATAGCCGATCTCCTGGTATTGCAAGTTGCTGGAACGTCATGGTTGCGGGGGGCGGAGGGGGGTCATAGGCAGGGCTCTGGCTGACATTTGTTCCTATGTCCAACTGTGATCTCAGGCTAGTCCGAGTCACATAGTCATCTCTCATCTGCAGGGGATGTAGTAGCAGAGAGATTCCCTCGCCCTCCCGCCCAGCCAGGCCTGGAAGCTGCAGGGGAGGACACTGCTGTGGCACACATCCCAGGTTTGTCAGCAGCTCAAAAAGGGGTTTACCTGCTTCACCCGGCAGACGCTAAATAAAAATGTGACTCATTCAGAACATAACCCTCTCCTCAGTGAGGTTCCCTGGTATGCCAAACCCTGGCCTGGGGGTGTGGCTCTAGGTGGGAACAAGAGTGGATGCTTTGGCTTTCAGTGCCCTTTACCGTCTGTTTAATTTGTATAACCCACGGCCTAGTCTGGATCACATGGAAGGGAAGCTTAGGATTCCTGCCATGAATGAACACAGCCCTTCATTGCTGCCCAGCCAGGCACAGAGACTTGTCACCCAAGAGAGCTTTCACTTTGATTCATGTGTTTAGCGTAGACACTGCTGTGCCTGCCTAAGGCTGTCAGGACAGAGGCTGCCTGCAGAATACAGGGGACTAGCTGGATTTCTACATTGTCAACAGCAGGGTCTCTGAGCAGAGGGAAGGGCACCCAAGGAAGGGGGGTAGCAGTGACTCCCAAGGAAAGGGAAAGGCAGGGGCTTCCTGGTGGATTTGGCCCAATCCCTGCTGCAGTCAGAGTTGAGTCATCTGGAAGTTGTGGTGGAGCGGAAGCATGTGGCTCCCAGGGGAGGCTTGTTTACAGTGTGAATAATAGCAGCTCTGTTATTCTCTGGTTGTCTAAGTGTCTGGGAGCGCTGCTCCTGCTGGGGGCCGGAAACACTCTCAGGAGAACCCCTGGCATAGGCACCTTGCTGTGGAATGCACCTCCACAATAGCCTTTTGTTTGTGTGTTGGTTTGGTGATAGGATTATCTCACTGTTGGGGCGTGTGCAGGTCTCTGTTGACCTCTCCTTGCCCTTCCTGCATTCACTGCTGCTGAGCTGCTTCCTCTGTCTGACCTGGACTTAGTGAGACCCAGGCTGAAAGCAGCAGGAAGAGAAGCAGCATGTGAATGGCCCACACTGAGGCTATGTCTACACTATGGGGCTTTATCGGAAAAAGGTATGCTAATTGTGCTCTGCAATTTGTGTACCTTTTTCCGATAGATTTTTCAGAAGAGGCTTTTCCGAAATTTGGCCTGCCTACACTGAGCCAAATTTCAGAACCTCTCCCCTCTTTCAGTGGGAGGAGGAAGATAGGGGTTCCAAAAGAGCGCGTCTGCGCTTCTACAAAAAAAAGCAAAAGAGCAGAGGTGTTCCCTGGATGCAGTGGAGTTTTTCTGGGATACGTATCCCGGAAAAACCCCATAGTGTACACATAGCCTTTGAGCTGGCACTAAAGTCCCTGTGACTGTGCCTGCTTGCCCCCCTCCGCCCCCCCGCTCCCCAGCCCATTACAGGACTGCATTGGCTCCTGGGGACCTGCTTACCTGCCCCAGGCCAGATAGAGCTGGTTTGCTGTTGTCTTTCTAGCCCTCCAGGGGCTTTCCTGGCTTTCCAGTAGCGATGTGATATGTTAACCAGTAACGCGTGATGCTTACCAGTTCTGGTTACCTGGTAACTGGTGGGGGCTGTAGCTGGTCCCCTCCTACCCCCGGCAGGGGG